AGTTTGATAAAAATTATATTAAAATCTGATTTTTTCGCGATTTTTGAGCGCAGGTGAAAAACTGTGACCTTTGGCTTAGTTGCACCCTTGTCTCCAAGAAATTCGTAGCTTTCAATCCAAAACAGGCAATAACGTGAAACTTAGCGACGATATAAGAAATGCGTGAATCAAAAATTGAGAATTTTTATTCAAATGCCATTTTTGGGCGCTTTGTAAAAGCAAGTAAAAAATGAGTTTTTGCTCAACTACACGCTGCATCTTCGAAAATTCGTAACTTCCCATGCAGAGCAGGTGCAACTTGAAACTTGCACAGACTATAGAAAACACTTGACTCCAAACATTCTGAAAGTAATTTAATTTGACACGAAATCCGATTTTTGTGCGCTTCGTAAACGCAAGTAAAAAATGTGAGTTTTTGCTCAACTGCACGCTCGTTTTTGAAAGCTGGTCACTTCTCATCTGGAGCAGGCAGCCACTTGAAACTCGCATGTCGTATAGAAAACACTTGTGAGAACATGGGTGGTGTTGCGGATATTCTTCCTTGCCACAGAAATTTCTTACAGGCTCCCTTTGTTTTCAGGTGAACAACTCGGAGCTGATGGAGCCAACCGATAAGCGAATGTTCGTGATAGCGGCCGCCCTCAAAACCGGCTACAGCGTCGAAAAGCTCTACGAGCTCACCAAAATCGATCGCTGGTTCTTGCAGAAAATGAAGCACATCATCGACTTCTACTCCTTCATGGAAACCATCAACCAGACCGAGCTGGTGGCCACCACTTTGCTCCAGGCCAAACAGCTCGGTTTTTCAGACAACCAAATTGCCATCGCGGTGCAGAGCACCGAACTGGCCATCCGACAGAAGCGTGAAGAATTCAACATCAAACCGTTCGTGAAGCAGATCGATACTGTGGCAGCCGAATGGCCGGCCACCACCAACTACCTCTACTTGACCTACAACGGTCTGAGCCACGACTTGGAGTTCAACGAGCAGCACACGATGGTGATCGGATCGGGAGTTTACCGGATCGGCAGCTCTGTGGAGTTCGATTGGTGTGCGGTTGGTTGTCTTCGGGAGTTGCGCCGATTGGGCAAGAAAACCATCATGGTGAACTATAACCCGGAAACCGTCAGCACGGACTACGACATGTCCGATCGGCTCTACTTCGAGGAAATCTCCTTTGAGGTGATTATGGATATTTACAGCATCGAGAACCCCGAGGGAATCATCCTGTCGATGGGAGGGCAACTGCCCAACAACATCGCGATGGATCTGCATCGGCAACAGGCGAGGATATTGGGCACCTCGCCAGATAGCATTGATGGGGCGGAGAATCGCTTCAAGTTCTCCAGAATGCTGGACAGGATCGGGATCATGCAGCCCCGATGGAAGGAGCTGACGAAAGTTGAGAGCGCCATCGAGTTCTGCGAACAAGTGGGCTATCCTTGTCTGGTGCGGCCTTCGTACGTTCTGAGCGGCGCGGCCATGAACGTGGCTCATTCCAATGAAGACCTCAAGACCTACCTGAACGCCGCAGTGGAGGTCAGCAAGGACTGCCCAGTGGTGATTTCCAAGTTCATCCAAGAGTCGAAGGAAATCGACGTGGATGCCGTCGCTTGCGACGGCATCATTCTCTGCCTGGCCGTTTCTGAGCACGTGGAAAACGCTGGCGTCCACTCGGGCGACGCCACTCTAGTCACGCCTCCCCAAGACATCAACGAGCAGACGCTCAGCAAAATCATGTACATCAGCAAGTCGATTGCCGCCTCCTTGGAGGTGACCGGCCCGTTCAACATGCAACTGATCGCCAAAGACAACGACCTGAAAGTGATCGAGTGCAACGTGCGGGTTTCCAGGTCGTTCCCCTTCGTATCCAAGACTCTGGATCACGACTTTGTGGCGATGGCAACGCGGGTGATTGTGGGCGAGCCTGTGGAACCAGTGGTGGTGCTGGGAGGGTGCGGAAAAGTCGGAGTGAAAGTGCCTCAGTTCTCCTTCTCTCGACTGGCTGGCGCCGATTTCATGCTGGGAGTGGAAATGGCCTCGACTGGAGAGGTGGCTTGTTTTGGGGACAACCGGTATGAGGCCTATTTGAAGGCCATGATGAGCACTGGTTTCAGCATCCCCAAACAGTCTATTTTGCTATCAATTGGCAGTTTTAAGGTAAGTTTCTACCCACCATGAACTGATTTTTTTTGGCAATTTATCCAAAATTGATGAGATCTGTGAGAACCCAGAAATTTCTGAAAAATGTGAGTTTATTCAACTGCGCGCTTGTCTTCGAAAATTCGTAACTTACTTCCGATCAAGTGCAGGCGACAAATTGAAACGTACATACGATATAGCAGACGCTGAACTCTGAAACCCCTGCGAGTTTGAAAAAAATTATATCAAAATCGGATTTTTTCGCGATTGCTGAGGGCAGGTGAAAAACTGTGACCCTCGACTTCAAAAAATTCGTAACTTTCGATTCAAAACAGGCAATAACTTGAAACTTTGCGACGATATAAAAAAATCTTGGTTCTGAAAGCTCGAACATTTTCATTCAAATGGCAATGAAATGTAATTTTGCTCATCTGCACGCTGCATCTTCGAAAATTCGTAACTCCAAAGTGGCCCCTATGGGTACGACACTGGTAGAAACAGAAAAATGCATTGTTGTCAGCTTGATTTGCATTTAGTTGTTCTGCGGCAGTATGTCATGAAAAAATCTACATCAAACGATTAACTTGAAGACGTGTGCGGTGTGCCCTTCGGGACAGTAAAATTTTACACGCTATGTAGCTTCTATAATTGATTTTTTTACGATTTCAGCATAAAATCGAGCTTCTTCCCAGTGTGAGGACTTTGCAGAAGTTGGGGTACAAACTATACGCCAGCTTGGGAACCGCCGACTTTTACAATGAGCATGGAGTGAATGTAAGTAGAAAAAAGTGGCAATTTATATAGAAAAGTCATGATGAAATATCCTAAAATTAAAATACAAAAAACAATAATTTGCTAAGATAACACAACGAAAAGGGTGCCTCGTATCAACCACTTGAGTGATAAGGCAGCAAATCGGCCCACGTTGAGACGGAATGGTTGAGTGAATGCTAAATCATTAAAAATAAAAATCTCAAACTCCTCGAAGAGAGCCACTCGAGCCAGCTTATCGGAGATTTCTAATGAAAAATTAGCACAATTAAAAACAGCTTATGTTGTTGAATGGACCGAGTCGAAAATCACTGTTATTTTTAGTTGCGAATCAATACAAAGCAAACATTCCAGTGTCTCGCATTTGGACTCTAGGAACATTTCGCACTTAAATCTACAAATAAATAAACTATCCTACAACACCGCTTTGTTACTTCACACGAAGGATCACCGAATATCCTCCAAGGGCTCCTCTTGAAAGTAGTTATTACTAAACGATCTAGACAGTGTCTTTAACTTAACTTTAGTATTTCTGACCTGCTGGTGCACTTCAGCATCAACAGGCCTGTGGACACAGTTGTCCAACCCCATCTGGACGTCATCCAAAGTCTCCAGGTCGTCTCCCACTTCATACCGTTCCTCTTCGAGATTGAGCACATTCAGGCTCCCAAAGTTTCTAATATTGGTTTGCATTTCGATGATGATCTTGGATTCTTCGCGACGGATTTCTTCGAGGAACCTCACTGCTTCATCCGCCCACAGTGGGTTCTCCTCTTTGAGGATTCTGGTCAAGTACCAGGCCTGCTTCAAGTAGAACAACGCTTGCGTTTCGGTGGAGATTCTTAAACTGGCATTGGCCATCTCCAAGTGGTGCTTGATGAACAGCTTTAACAGGGCGACTTTCTTCGGTCGGTCCAGGTGCTTTTCACATTCCCACTGTAGAAACAACAGGAATCAAGTTCAGCGAGTGAAGACGTGTTGATTCTGAGTTTGGGAGGAACTGGAGGGTTTTTTGATTGGATACACGAAAGGAACAAACACTTGTAAATGAGGATTAAGTCGTAAAAAAGGGGAAATCCCAAAATAGTTGCTACTGAAGATAGCTGAACGTGTGATACTGGAGACGAAGAAAACTCCTTCTGAGCAGATATGGAGGATATGTTTGAATCTTCAAACAACCAGAAACTGACGCGACAGGAGGCACAAAATGCTAAAGCTGAGGGGATCTTCTAAACGCTTCAAATTGACACTCAAAAGTTCAGCTAATGTGAGGAAGAGAGACCAAAACCTCCCTGAGGTCTTTGCCAGATTGTTCCGGATAATTTGGCCAAATGTTGGCTACTGATTGAAAATACGCCCTCAAAAAAAGATGAAATCCGGTACAAATATCTGATAAGCAACGGAGCAGATCCTCATTTCAATCACGTAGAATTCAAGTGGCGACCATGGCCATTTGCAGCTCAAGTTTTATCGACGTTTGCAAACAATACTGGAATCCTCGAATTGCACCAGGTGGTTGAAAGTCCGCTCCTTTCCATTGAGGGAAATAGAGGAGTGATTAGGGACGATGTGTTTTTGAAAAATCCCGTATACTCACGTCATCATTAATGCTGTCGACTGAGCCCTTTCGGTCGTTCAGCCTCTTCCGTCTCTCCACCAGTTTCTGCTTCTGCCTCCTCGCATTTACGTATGCCAGTTGCGTCTCCGCGTCCTTAAACTTGGGTTTCTCGTCCAATGAGCTGACTGAGCCGAAAAACTCGTCCTCTTTGTCCGATATGTGAGTCATCGTCATATCGTCCCACTCTTTCACGTAGAGGATCCTCAACAGTTCCTTATAGTCCAAGGGCGGGTAGAAGTTTCCAGATGTGTATCGAACATTCCTCAGCGCCCTGATGATCATCATCAGGGGCGACTCCTTGATTCGATGCAGGGCTTTGTTGGCAATATCCAGACGCCGTTTGGCGGATCGGTTTTTTAGAACATTTTTCCTGCGGATGAAGAAATCGCGCATTTTACCCGCGCTGAGAATGTTGGAGAACCTATCGATCAAGCCCAGTAGACGGGGGCCCAGCTGATGGCTGGCCCAATTGGAGTAGTTGGCCTCCGCTTCGGTTAGAATGAGGTTGAGGAAATGTTCGGGCACAACTCCCAGGCCTTTAGTGGAGGGCTGGATGTATTCCTTGAAAATGGCCAGGAACACAAAGTAACAGTTGATCTGCTCGGGAAGTAGGAAGGCTTCCAGGTAGCGCTCTGCCAAGGGGAAGTGGATTTCCCATTCCAGATCGCCTTCAGGATAGTCGCCTCGTTTTCGTGAAAAGCCCTTTGGCACAAGAACGCACTGGTACTGCTTGACTTCGTCAATCATCTTATCGGTCGGCCACTGGGTTTTCGCTCCAGGCGATCCTTCGCAGAACTGGTAGGTCTGCTTGTAGGGCCAAGGGCATTTGAGGCAAGGCAAAACCTCCACAGGGTAGGCATTGCCGTTCTCGTCCCTAACATTGCAAAAGATCTTCCCTGGGGAGTGTCTGTCGATCATCCCATGATCGACATCGTTCTGACTGATCCCCAGCTGCTCTGCTATGGACTTCTGAAACACCTGCTTCTGAAAGTGTTTCATAAAGCGTCTGGAGGTGAGATAGGACACAACTGAGAACACGTCCTCCTCTTTCAGGTTCTTGTAGTCGAGGTCCTCCAGCTGAATGTCCACGTCTGCTTTCTTGATTTTTCTGATAAGGGATAGTTGATGGTAAAATCGATTTAGGCATGCCGAGGCATTGCAGGCTACCAACCTGAAGACGAAGCAATCGTCCAGACTGGGAAAGTCGGCGTTCTGTTCCTTCAGCAGCTGAGGCTCCGTTCCAATGGACGTGGAAATGGAGTCAGTGTCGCTACTGCCTGAAATGTTGGAGGACGCGGCTTCGATGATGTCTTTCAACGAAATCCCGTCGTGGTCGGCCAGATCGTTGATCCTCTGGAGCTTGACAAAGCCTACACAAGAATGATTGGATTTCGTCCAAACTGGCATGTTCTCCCTCACCTGGTCGTTTGCTGTCTTCAATCCGCACTTGATAGCGACTGGACGAGTGCTCCTGCGGCTCTTCGTAGTCATTCTCTGGATCAAACACATCCACATACTCGTTCATTGGCACATAGATTCTTCGAGTTACCAAAGGCTCTGCCATGTTCCGTCCGTGGATTGGCCGATAGATTACGTTCTTGTTGGCCTTTTCCATGACCACGTTGGGTTCCCAAAAGCTGCTCTCTTGGGCATTTTTGGCCTCCTGCGCTGCCCTACCAATTTCCCTACAAGAACGGTCAGACCCCACAAGATTTTGGCCAGTATCTTCAACTTACTCTTGGTAGTTCCGCAGGAACATCGTTCCCATTAGCACATTATTCAACACAAAGGTTTCCGGGGTCTCGTTCAAGTCCCTACGAATCGCACAAATGATCTGTTCGTCCCGGAAGCGTAAAATGCCCGCATCACTCGAATCTTTTGCACCCGGGCGCTTCGATGACCCTTTGGAGACTTTCGGCAAGCGCCGTTTGTTTTTCCGCTCTTTCGACACAAACAGACCCATTTTCCGAACTGCGTCCAACCTGTTTGGATTGAAAATCGAAACCGTCGTATCAGCCAAGGATGGTGCAGATAAGCGTCATCCTTAGTCGCGCTTAGTGACTACAAATGAGGTTTTTTTTCTATACCAACTGCTTAAAATCTCGTTAATAACTCATTTGAGCAATACTCTTATCGCCGCGATAGTAATCAGCGATATCGATTTTGTCTAATGTTGCTGTGGATGGCACTATTTTCGTTTAACTTTGGGTTTAACTGAACTCGGACTGAACATTCACCGCGGTTCTGTAAGACACTATTTTTTGGTTCCGAAGCTTCATTTTCAAGCTGTTTTAGGCTGCTCGATTTGCTTAGAAAACTCAACTTTCTCACAGGTCTAGGAAGAGGACTGAAATTTGGGACACTAGTAAAAGAGACGTTAGTCTACAGACGTAGAGGTGTCCAATCAAATCGATCAACGCGTTGAATTTATACGAATTTTTGAAAAATTGTACCCTTCCTTGCAAATGCCAAAATTTTCACACATCGGCAAGACTTTGAAAGTGCGAAACTTTCGTTTTGGATAGAGCACAAATGCCCCATTTAGAGCTGTAGAGTCATTTAGTTAAAAACTGTACGTTTTAAGAGTTTAGGGCATAAGTCAACTCATTACAAGGAAGTCAATTAGCACTCAGCTCAATGCGCCTCGAAGCGACGCAAATACTCCTAATGTTATAATATTGTCACTTAATTACTCCTGATATCTGTTCGTTTGTTTAGCTAATCTTGCCTATGCCGTATACTAAAAGTACTCATGACTCAATTAAACCGTGATTTTTGATTTGGTGATGTGATCCATACACATTCATTAGTAATGACTTTGTGGGGATTTTTCCAAACCATAGACTACAATTTCCCGAATTGTCTTCAACTAATCGCCGTTTTCTTGCACTCTAGAATTCCATTTCGATCGGACTGTTTTCAGAACGGACATGGTTTTGAATCACTTAAGCCCTCACTGTCGATTAATCAGCATACACTTATCGATAGTTTGAGCAAATTGAGGAATTATTCGTTGTTTCAGGTGCAACCAGTTCAATGGACCTTTGAGAACATCGACAACCTCAACAATGAGAATGAGTTGAGTCACTTGGCCGATTTCCTCTCGAAGAAGAGGTTCGATCTGCTGATTAACATCCCGATGCGCAACGGTGGCGCCAGAAGAGTCTCCTCTTTTATGACCCATGGCTATCGTACTAGGAGATTGGCCATTGATTACTCCATTCCTTTGATAACGGACGTTAAATGCACCAAACTCTTGGTGGAGGTAAGAGAACAGTTTCAGGATTTTGGGCTTAGGAATGAAGAATTTTCGCTCGCAGACCAGTGCAAATTTTGACACAAACTTATGACGACTGAGGTTTTCAACACAAATTTTCAACCGCTTAGAAGAAGTTCACAATTTTTTCACGTCTGGAAAACGCTCCCTTTTCCCATTTCCAAACTGTTGGGTAAAGCAACATAAATTTGTGTCCAGGTCATTTAATTTAAAGGGCAATTTTTGGGCATGCAACTGTAAATTGGGGCAGGATCGTAATAATTCGGCGAGACATCAGCAGCGATTCGCTAAAGTAGTCAACCACTCAGCACTTGTTCAAGGAGCAATCGATGATTATTAGATCGATGAAAATAAGCAATTTGTGTGCGTTTTTCACGTGCAGAGTCCGAGGGTTACTTTGATAATTTCACACTAAAATAATTCGTAAAATTTCCCAACTTCCAGCCAATCTTTCACGTGATTAGCTCGATATCTGTGTCCTTTGCAGGCAATTCGGCTAATTGGCAAAGCCCCGCCCATGAAAACCCACACGGACTGTATGAGTTCAAGAAACATCCTCAAACTGCCTGGTTTTATTGACGCCCATGTGCACGTGCGCGAACCTGGAGCCACGCACAAGGAGGATTATGCGTCGTGTTCAGCAGCCGCTCTGGCTGGAGGCGTCACTCTTATTCTAGCCATGCCCAACACCAATCCGGCCATTGTGGACGAAGAAGCCTTCCTGCAAGTGAAGAAACTCGCCAAAGAAGGCGCTCGATGCGACTATGCCCTTTTTGTCGGTGCTTCGTCGGATAATGCGTCGACAATCTGCGAGCTGGCCAATGACGCGGCCGGCTTGAAGATGTACCTGAACGAAACGTTCACAACTTTGCGTCTCAACGACCTCAACGTCTGGAACAAGCACTTGAACAGCTGGCCGAAGCGGGCGCCACTCTGTGTCCATGCTGAGGGCCAAACGACTGCAGCCATTGTCTTATTGGCCAGTTTCATTAATCGGTTAGTTGGGGGCGTGGCAGTCACACCTAGAGAGGATTTGCTCATTTGAAATCTTGGTTGTTCTGATAGGCCAATCCACATTTGCCACGTGGCCAGGAAGGAGGAGATCTTGATCATCAAGGCCGCGAAGGAGAAGGGCATGAAGATCACCTGCGAAGTCTGTCCGCATCATCTGTTTCTATCCAGCAGCGATGTACCCAAGTTGGGAGTGAAGAAAAGCCAAGTGAGACCAGTGAGTAAATCAACCAGTTCTCTTTTGGATCTTCATTTGTCTTCTGCTCAGATGCTGGTGTCCCCAGAGGATCAGCAGGCTTTGTGGGACAATTTGCACGTGATTGACTGTTTTGCCACTGATCATGCACCTCATACTGTGGAGGAGAAACTCAGCGAAAACCCTCCTCCGGGCTTTCCAGGTAAAACTCCAATTCCCCACCGATTGAAGATCCACCACCCATCACTCCTTTGGTATCAACAGGTCTGGAAACCATTCTACCCCTACTCCTCAACGCTGTCAACGAAGGGCGGCTCACTCTAGAAGATGTCATCAACAAGTTCCACAAGAACCCGCGCAAGATCTTCAGTCTTCCCGAACAGTTCAACACCTATGTGGAAGTGGACATGGATGAGGAATGGGTGATTCCTGGTAAGTCGCTTTCGATCTTTGTTAGTTGCGAACGTTGCAAATTGTTGGTAGAAATGCGAAAAGTAAAGGCGCGGGTTTTGATTTTCAGACGCAATGCCTTACAGCAAGGCGAAATGGACGCCATTTGCGGGAAAAAAGATCAAAGGGGCCGTCCACAGAGTTGTTTTGAGAGGGGAGGTGGCTTATGTGGATGGAAAAATTTTGGTTCAACCAGGTAAGACAGCCGTGCAACTTTACAACAGTTCTTGGCGTTTTAAGAGTCGTTATTGGGTTCAATCGCGTATAATTCACACACCAGGCCGGAAAGAGGATTGAAATTTTGTACACCTACAAAAGAGACTTTAGGGTACAACAGCAGAGATTTGGAACCAAATTGGTTTACCAGTTGAATTAGAATAATTTTGAAGAAACGAAATGAAATTCGCACGTCAAGTAAATTGATCTTTTTTTGATTTGCCATCATTTCTCAAAGAGGATGGCGCAAAAGTTAAAAACTGCTCAAAACCTTGAAATTTTCAAAAATCGAACTAACGAGTCTTCCAAACTTCCACACCAGTAAAAGAGAGATGAGTCTTCAAGCGTAGACATGTGGAATCAACTCTGTCACAGCGCTGAATTTATAAGAATTTTCAAAAATTGTGTTCTATGTATTAACTAAAGCCAGGTATGAGTTCACTTGTAAAAAAAATCAGATTTCTTGCACCAATAAAGGAGTCATCGGTGTATAAGTGTAGAGATTTTGAATCGAATTGGCTGACTTGGTTGAATTTTTACGATTTTTGGAAAATGTAGTTTATCAAACCTAACTTTACTTCTTCTCCCTGAAGACGTGCTATTCATATGAGCCTGCCGATGGTCTTTATACTAAATGCTTGTAGGTTTCGGGAAAAATGTGCGAGAATGGGAACGAAGGCACTTCGCCAGCAGCCATTCGGCGTCTTTGAACGAACTGAGGCCATCATCTGCCCTCGAGCGCGCCGTTTCTCCATTGCCCAACTCCCTTATGGAAAGATTCGATTACGATGCTGATGGACCGACCAACGAAATGTTCTCCAGACTTCTATCTGCTGATAACAAGGTGGGTAAATCATCAATAGAACCATGTTTTCTCGGATAAACCAATTGAGAAAATGCACGATCATTGACCATAATTCCCAGCCCGAAACTGCCGAAATCGTAAGGATTACCATAAGTTATCTGTTTCAGTCCCAGCGTGACAATTATATAGCAAATCTTGTAAAAACTCAGGTAAAACGATACGATTTGCTTGTCAAGTGCAGATGTTGCACGTTCTATTTTTAAGCATTTTCATTTGTTTTTTTGTTCGCCTGATTAACAAGCCCATTGAACGTCGTGTTTGTTTTACTAATTGCCTCTCTTCTTGAGTGTGTGCTGATTAACCAATTAGCGGAATCAGATCAATGAAGATGAAATTGGCATCGGCCAGGGTCAGAGACAATCAGTCCATGAGAATCATGCGAAAATGCGTAAAATAAGAATTTATTTAACTGTTTTTGTTAATAGTTTTCTGCTTTTGAGCTTTTCATCAGCAGCGCGTAATATTAACACCAGCATTAACTGATGTGCATTTTTAGGTGCATTTCGCCGGTGATGCTCCCGAACGCAACCTGATCTCTCCAATTCCTCCATTGCGAGTGCGAACTGAAAGCTACACGCTTCATGAAAAACAAAAAGCAAAAGGAGATAGTGGATTTTTGAGCGCTCCGACCATCCAGGCGGAAGTCCATCAGCATTTTCCACATGGTCTGACTGGCAAGCACATTCTAAGTGTGGACATGTTCACCAAAGAGCAGCTGAATTATATCTTTAATCTGGCTCAAACATTCAGGTAAACTTATAGGAAAGAGCGATATTTTTTTTTTAATTCTTCGTCAAATGAATATGTATGCAATATTTTCTGCTATCTGGGAAATGTTCTGAATCTCGATCGAGTTGATTTTAAATCACACACAAGCCCAAAAAACTACAACTAAACTCCCTAAAAAATCCTTCAACACAGACATTCATTTTTCAAATGCTCTAAATAAGTTTTCCTAATTGAAGTTGAAAATGCCGGAGTTATGTAAGCTTTTCCCAATTTGAAGACAATTTCCCCATAAAAACTCTAGAGACTAACCGGGATCTTCACAGTCCATCTACATTAAATCTGAAAGAATTGGATTGGAGGAATTCCCTTATCAAAAATGCAAAACACAAATTTCCAGAATGTACGTGTCGAAAGATCGGCCGCTAGACCACGTCCTCAAAGGAAAGCTGATGGCCTCAATATTCTACGAAGTGAGCACCAGAACCTGCTGCAGCTTTTCCGCAGCGATGCAAAGACTCGGAGGACGCGTGATCTACATGAACGAAAGCACATCGTCCGCTCAGAAAGGAGAAACGCTCGAAGACTCCATAGCCACTTTAGCGGGATACGCGGACGTTGTGGTTCTGAGACATCCATCACCTGGATCAGTGTTGGTGAGTACACAAAACCCGTCCTTCTGGCTGATCCTCCGCATACTGCGTCATCTGCAGAAAGCCTCGCAACACTGTCGCAAGCCAGTCTTGAACGCTGGTGATGGCGTGGGCGAGCACCCCAGTCAGGCGCTTCTGGATGTCTTCACCATACGGGAAGAAATCGGCACAGTCAACGGCCTGGTGATCACGCTCGTGGGCGATCTGAAGAACGGTCGCACTGTTCATTCTTTGGCCCGTCTGCTCACGCTCTACAACGTCCACCTGCGCTACGTCAGTCCTGCGAACCTGAAGATGCCCAACAACATCACCAAGTTCGTGGCCGGGAAGGGGATCCATCAGCAGGAGTTCGACACTTTGGAGGAAGTTTTGCCCGACACTGATGTCCTTTACGTGACCAGAATTCAACGGGAACGCTTTGAGTCACAGGAGGAGTATGATAAGGTAAACGTCTAGTTAGTGTTTAGGATTGTTTTTGTCGAGTTGAAAGATATTGAGATGAACTTTGTCTTCTGTGGGTCAGCAAATCATGATTTTAGCGAAAGTCTAAACACCGTAACATTTTGTTTGCAGGCATGTGGTCACTTTGTGGTTACACCCCAGCTGATGACAAGGGCGAAAAGACGTATGGTGGTGATGCATCCCTTGCCCAGGGTGTTCGAGATCAGCCCCGAGTTCGACAGCGACCCGAGAGCTGCCTACTTCAGACAGACGGAATGCGGCATGTACGTGCGAATGGCCCTTCTGGCCATGGTCTTGGGCAAATGCTGATCGCATCAGCTGGTGTGTATATAAGAAATATATTTAATTGAAAAATGGACGATTCATTTATCTAAGCGAAGCTTGTTTAAAAAATGGTGTGCGTCACGGGACGCTCGAC